GCGCAAATGATGGAGTTTTAATAACAAATAGATTAGAACTTCAAATCAATAAATTGTAAATCTGTAAATATTATATCGTTGTTGCGACTGTAAACTTAGATAACTATTTGTCGGAGAAAATTAAATTCAGATCAAGATCTACAGTTTTCATGAAGACTTCCAAAGTAGAAATCGAAACGTCAAAAAAATAAAATGAAATTGTAAAATAAAAAATTTTATTTGTCCTTTTTTAAGATTGCGATGATATGCGTATTGCGTACGTAATAAAAGAAATATTGCCGTAAAACGGCTCTTGAAATTCAATAAGTTGCATATTCGCCTCAGCGATTCCATCATGTGAACGAAAAAAAAAAAAAAAAATGAAAATGCTGAAGTTAGAATGGAGAAATGGGAAAACATTAATAGTGCAAATGTCTGTTATGGGAAGTTTATGAGTGTAGAGAAGACTTGGCGGTGTAGTACTGCGCTGTTTAATACTAAATTTCCTAAATTATCTGCCAGAATAATTACTCAAGGTTCACCTACTTCCAATAATGAAGAGGGGTAGAAAGAAAATATGGGCGAGGCTTTTCAAGGTACTTAAGGTGGAAGGGATGATGAATGGACAGTTTTGGTAGCGCAGGAGACACTTCCAACATATGTGTCCCAAGCCTGGTTGCAGGAGGAGGGTTTCGTGATAAAGTTAGTTCTGTGGCATGTGTAATAAAAATTGCTCAAAGAATTGGTAAACATCCTCGGATAGAAACGACAAACATGGTAACTAATAATTCTAGAAAAGCAAAAAATATAATGAGAATGGCCACTCGTAACACAAAAGTCATAAATATTAGCGATCAGGAAGAAGAGAAGGAAGTAAGAAAAGATTAATCACAGAAATCTGTGATCTGTAAGAAACAGAAAAAAATGGCAGAGGATAAGCACAGATAGGAGAATATTTACTAATCTATAGTGATTTACCAAAAGTAAGAGCAGATGAAAATATAGCTATAAGAACAGACCAGAAGAACTGAAATTAGTATGATTAGTGGAATGGAAGATCTAACCCAGAGGACAAAAAACAAAAAAATAGAATGGAATAAACATAGAAAGACATATTCGTTGTTAACATATTCGTAGCAACAGATTGACCAGGAGACAGGCAAGTTTTGTAAACTTAAAAAAATACTAAAAAAAAATCTAGAAAATACAAACAACAATCATATCTTCTGTTTAGTTTTTTTATCTTATGACGAAGTTTGGATAAATCGAATTTTTATGTTTCACTATATTTAAGAAACAAATCAAATAGTTAAAAACGAAAGAGACTTTGTGGAACACTTTTTAATAAACGGCATTAAAACGGACACATCGAGGTACATTAATTAAAAAAGTAGTGAAAAGGGAGGTTATTTCGTATAATTTTGAAAATATCTTACGCTGTGCATATTTGTTGAAAAGGCAATTATGATAATTGAAATAGTCTTGCTATTCTCGGACAAAATAATTATTCCTGGTAGATTTTACAATTTTTTGGCTCAGATTACAAAAATTTTAAATATTGAGTCCATTTTAATTTAGGTAAAAACAAATAAAAGACTTACTCACAATCAATTTATTTTACCACAGACCACTAGTTTCGCATATTACAATTTACTATGCATATTCGGGTCTCCGGTACGGTAGACTAAATGCTAAAAATACAAATTACGAACATTAGTGTGCTGTTTGGTACAAAATATAAACAAATTATGCCAATATTATTTGTGCAGAATTTAATGGTATACAATGTTAAATTCATTAATTAAATTTAACATTTTTATTAATTAAATTAATTTTAAAAATAAATTTAAAATTGTACACTCTTAAAACTATGCACATATAGTATAGGCATAATTTGTAAATATTTTGTACCAGACAACACCCTAATATTGGTCATTTGTATTTTCAGCATTTAGTGTACCTTACCGGAGACCTGAAGATGCATAGTAAATTGTAATATACGAAACTGGTCGTCCGTTATAGAATAAATTGATTGTGAGATTGTGGGAATTTTTTTGCCTACGTACAAAAATTACATTAATTAGTTTAGAAAACTTTATCCAACTAATGAAAAAAAAAAAAACAAAAACCCTGGAAGACACAAACAACAAAAGATTAAAAACATAATAAACACTAATATCACTAAGCATTAATAAGATAATAATGATATAAATTACATGATAAATATAAAGAAAACATTTTTATATAACCAATATGTCTTCTATTAAATGCAATTAAAGAATAGATCCAAATCCAAGAGAAAACTAATCATAGTTACACTCTCACTTATTAGTTAAAAAACTTAAAAAATTCAATATTGTAGTAAAGTATATGCTCATATTTCCGACTTAGCAGAGAGATAAAATCCTCAAATGACTGTTTTCGACTTGCCTGAATTCAAAGGAAAAGCTCATCAAAACCAACAAATAGTGAAAAACCAGACCACGCGTTTTTATAACGATCAATTCAACGTAAAAAAAATTGCAAAAATAGCAAAACAAAAATTAAACTTCGTAAAATCGACAAAAAATCAAAGTTCTAACGTTTATGTTTATATTGTTTTAATATTGACCAAGAAGCTCGCGATGCTAATTTTTAATATCATATAAAATAATACAAAGAGTTTTTTAGGCGGATATTCGTTATTCAATACCATACCGTGCGAGAATAACTTACAAAGCTCTAGTTGGTGCTAAGTTGTTTATTTTTTCGAGAAAGTTGTTTTCAATTTGATTTTTAGTGTTTGTGGACATACGTTTTTATCAATGGACAATGTACCATCAATGAACAAACATACTAGATAGATAGAACTAGCTACAGATTCTCGAGTGCCAGATATAAAGCAATCAATTTGTGTATGTCAATGGATGTACACCCGTCAAAGATTGATCACCGGATCGGTATCCAGGTGAGTGGATTTCAGGCTATCATATTGAGAAAAAATCCGTTGAAAAAAATGGATTTACGTTCTTTAACAAAAACGAACGTCTACAAGTGCTCTTACGTGGACTGATATTTCAGGACCCAGCCCAACTCCTGCTGCTTTTTCATTTTAACGAAGTTAAGTTGTTTTTGTATAACAAGTTTTATGAGTTTACCGATTTTTCGTTATTTTACGAAGAGCAACATGTTAATCGAAACTTTTCAAATATTGTAAGAGACGTTTGAAAATGAATGTTTGAGTTGATCAAGGTACCACAGGTGATCCCAGAAAGTATAAAGAAGGCCGGTAGTCGGCAGCAGATAACCCACGTTCAGGAAGACCAACGACTTTGACCGATAAAAGCCATATTAAAAAAGTGAATGCTATCATGCAATAACATCGCATGATAGCATTCACTTTAAACATTCGTAAGATTCAAAACCAATTAAAAACGATAAACTGTGTCGATACACTAAGAGCCTGCACAGTTGTTGCTAGGCTGTTGACCTAGAAGCAAAAACATCACCGCATTTTGGGTTCTTGTAATATTTTGAAAGGTCAAATGGTAATGAAACCTTTTTGAATCGCATTATCAGTAAAGGTGGCATGAGTTAATGGCTACAACTTGGAAACAAAGGTTCGATCATCTCACTGAAAGTACAGAGCATTTCAGACATCCATAAAAGCACACAGCAGGTGGAATTGAACGTGAAAATCACATTAGTGAAATAACTTATCTTCAAACGGTGAAAAATTTACGTAAGGTTGTACAAAAGAAGATTTCGCAGATGTGGTGACGTGGGACTGTGTGCTAAACCATTATAATTCATTGTATACTAGATCATTCTTCGTAGCGCTTGGATGGTTCTGTACAAAAGTAAAGCACATTATGAACATTATTTTAATGGTATAACAATTGTTTGTGTTTAATTCTTTAAACTTGTGAACTTTCATTAAATTTGTTTCTTTTTGAGCTTCTAAATTTGATAACAAATTTATGAATTTTATACATAAGTTAATTTGTTAAATGTTTTATGGCGAGATAAAAAAACGTTTTTTCACTCCTGAAAAATTCGATATAACTAATTTAATTTTAAGGTTTACATAAGGTGGCGATAAGCTACGCTAATGAGATTGCCATTTATACAGACGGACTGAAAGGGGGCTGCAAAACGTGTCTCCATGGTAACAGAACTAAGCAGTAGATTTGAGCTTGAGTTCCAAAAAACTAAATACGTGGTTATAAGCAAAAATGGGACAACACCGGAACAAGTATTAGTTAATCAACAACCCATATCACAAATCATCAACTTCTGCTATTTGGATGCAAAGTTAAACCAACAGCTGCAAGATCAGCTTTCTTCAAAATGAAAAAAAAATCTTTACCAGTCACCATATAAAAATGGAAATAAAAGTTTGATTCTCCGTTCTTCTATATGGAATGGAGTCCTGGACCTTAACTGAAGCATCAACTGAAGAGACTCAGAGCATTTAAAATGTGGTGTAATAGATGCATGTTAAGAATATCCTGGATAGACAAAGTTACCAACGAAGAAGTTCTGCACAGAATGAGTAAAGAGCGCGAACTAGTCATAACCATAAAAGATAAAGCGCCGCAAACTGGAATTTCTGGGCGATATAATGCATATCGTACAACAATAGGACCTACTTCGGGCCTTACTTCAAAGTAAGTTGTACGAAAAGAGGTCTAGGAAGAACAAGAAGAATATCCTGGATTCATAACCTACGAAAATGGTTTAATTTGACCACTACCGGACTTTTATTTATAATGCCATATTATTTATTTTGTCATATGCCGTTGACCTGAAAATGCCTAAAAAATTTTAGTATGTGAAACCGGTCGTCGGCAACAGAATCAAATTGGTTGAAGTCGTAGTCCTTTACCTAAATCAATAAAGAATATTTAAAAAAAAAATTATGCCTGCGACAAAAATACATTTAAACCTAGAACACGATAGTAAGACAATGTGAAAAAAAGGTACTGAGAAAATGAACATAAAGCACAGTGAAAGGCATAGAAACAACTAATAAACATGTTCACAGTTCTACTTTGTGTATTAATATTCTCTTGAAAGTCGGGTTATTTACTTGTAATTTCCAATAAAATAAAAGCTTATTTAAATATATATGCATAATATTAGCGAACTTCAAGTTAGAGCTTCTTGGATTTGAACTAACTCCTTATAAAATCTAAAAACTATTTTTTCTCTGTAAGTTGAACTGATATTCTTCTAAGGAAGCTGACATGAAGCTCTAATAGAGTATCAGAGTCTATATTTTCACTACAAAACTTAAACATTTCCACAAATATGTCTTTTTTATCGTTGTCGTTTTGAGAATTTATTTTATTTTTGAAACAACTAACGATTTCACTGGACGTGGAAGCTTGTTTGAGCCACACATTTTCCGTGACCTTTTTCAGGCTATCTATGGATTTAGCTCGCAGGATTCTTTCGAAGAAAGTCTGCAAGTTTTCATTTTCTAAACGATTAATCACAATTTCATCAAAATCTATTTCAGAAAGATTTTCTAGATATGGAAAGAGATCCTTAGGTCCGTCTATCAGAGGCATAAGACAGTGCTGTATGACATCACTCTTCTGAAAGGTATTATTTTTAATACTCTCCTCTACACCTACCTCTAAGTCCTCAATACTCCTTCCTTTAAAGAACTTTTCCAACGGCATAGTATATTTAACATACTCAGCTATTGCTTCGTAAAATTCGTGCTCCCTTTCATCATTGAACAAAGTAACGTGAGTTCTTTTTAATATGTCTGAGATTCCTTTCGAATTAATTATTACTTTTAATACTGAAGAGAAGTCCTTTTCTTCCAAAGCATCTACGGCTATTGCTGGGTTGTAAGATTTTGCTATCGAAGTAAGTTTTAATGTGTCTATGTTGGACAATACAATACTTGACAATTCTTCTGCAGGTACTTTCTAAAAAATAAAAATAATAAAATACTATTGTTATTAGATATTTCCACTTTGTGGATAATCATAAAGATTAAAAATGAAAAAAATATAAATGCTCCCAATGAATATTTATACTAATATTGACCGAGTCGATTAGGGCATTTGAATCGGCACTATTTAAAAAAAAAAAACGCTACAAAAATATTTACGACACAATAAACTCCATGTTAAAATTGACGGGGAAATTGAGACCTGGCTTTTAAGAATTTAACTATCACAGTTTAACCTTATCATTCGTGAGTCGACTTATAGGCCAATTAAGTTAGATTTTTACTCATCACAAGTGTATAGACCGGTTTGACAGTTGAAATGGGTAGTATGAGATATTACAAAAAGACTCTCATCTAGGGATTCATGAATTTTTTAGTGGAACTATTTTTAAATAAACAATTAAACCGTCAAACTCATTATTTTGCTCATAACTTATAAACTTGTCTATTTAGAGATTTGACGTCCACAGACAAGTGGTTGAGAAAAAAAAAATACACAAAATGAGATATACTAAATTAAAATCGGTTAATAAGCAAAAAAGTTATTTCATTATATATATATATATATATATATATATATATATATATATATATATATATATATATATAACCAAGCAAAACCACTGTTTTTGATTATTGTTAATAAATCTTTTATTAATCATTAAAATTTATTTAAATGTATCTGAACTTAAAGATCTCATCGTGTTCAAAGTGTGTGCGAAAGATAGGCTAGATCCGTCGAATAGTTTTTGCACTATTTAATTTGTTTATATGTTTTTTGTGAAAAATGCACAAATTTCTAAGGCCGGTCCAGATAATTTGACTGAATGGATCTTAATATTCCGGGGCTTATTTTCTTCGTTAAGACATATATTAATATCCGATGGAAAAAAAAGTTAAAAAAAATTACGTTTATGACGCACAAAATGATTTAACAATAAATAGCACTTTTTAAGCTTATAAACATTTACAATAACTCCGTACTATTGAGTTCAAATTAAATGGCAATAAAATATTCGGAAAGCTGGAAAAGACAAATTAAAAAAAAAAGGTCCTGCGACCATTAGGAGCCGAGTTAGTCCTGTTTATTTTTAAATCACTGTTACGTCAATTAACAACATTAAGGGCTGAAAATAAGCAATCTTTTAGAAGAAAAGTCAAAGTTTTTAACAGAATGTTTGGCAAACAAAATATTGAAAATTGTTTAAACAGGAGTGTTGTAAACCAAGAGTACTTTGCGTTCCGACTAGAATGGAAACAGTGGAGATAGGCGGTTGCCTACAATCCAAAAAAGTCGAGCGCAAGGTTTCAAAATAGAACGCTTGAAAAAAAAATGACATATCTCGGGTTCTATTGGACCAAATTTGCTCTTTTTTTTTTTAAACTGGGGTACAACGTTAAGATAATAACATTTAACGTAATTTTATTGCAAAATTATCCAAAACAAAGCAGCTAATGACTACGGAATGTACAAAATGTTTCTTAAGTCGTCTTTTTATTGTTATTTTTCTATTTATTACAAACTTTACAAAATTTTTACAAAATTAAATACAAACAATTTTTCCATATACTGTTACAAAATTTGAACAAATCAGTTTTTTAGTATTAAAAAATTACTTTTAGAACAAAAAATCATATATTATATTATAAGAAATCATAACTTCTTAAAGTTTATAAATTCATTAATTGAATTTGCCTCGCATATTTATTATATATTAGTTTTTTTTTTCAAATACGCATGCTCCAAAAAGCAGATGCTGTTAGACCGTTACAACTCATTTTACTTTCACTATACAACCGGTATATTTCATTTTGGAGCATAACCGCAGCGTATATTTTAGCGTTTAAAAAAAAGCAGAGCAAATTTAGTCCAGTAGAACCCGAGATATGTCATTTTTTTTCTAAGCGTTCCATTTTGAAACCGTGCGCTCGACTTTTGGAGAGCGCGGCTTGTGTGCAACCGGCTATCCCCACTCCTTCCATTATAGTCGGAACGCAAAGTACTCTTGGTTTACAACACACCTGTTTAAACAATTTTCAATTATTTTGTTTGCTAAACATTTTGTTAAAAACTTTGACTTTCCTTCTAAAAGATTGGTTAATTTCAACCCATAATGTTGTTAATTGACGTAACAGTGATTAAAAAAAAAGGACTAACTCGGCTCCTAATGGCCGCAGGATCTTTGTTTTTTATAATTGTGTTTTTTAACCAGCTTTTCGAATATTTTATTGCCATTTAATTTGAACTAAATAGTACGGAGTTATTGTAAATGTTTATAAGCATAAAAAGTGCTATTTATTGTTAACTTTTTTTTTTCATAGGATATTAATATGTCTTAACGAAGAAAATAAGCCCCAGATTATTAAGATCCATTCAGTCAAATTATCTGGACCGGCCTTAGAAATTTGTGCATTTTTCACAAAAAATTTATAAACAAATTCAATTGTGCAAAAACTATTCGACGGATCTAGCCTATCTTTCGCACACAGTTAGAACACGATGAGATCTTTAAGTTAGGATACATTTTAAAAAAATTTAATGATTAATAAAAGAGTTATTTACAATAATCAAAAACAACAGTTTTGCTTGGTTATTATGCAATAACTATTTTGTTTATTAACCGATTTTAATTTAGTATATCTCATTTTATGTATTTTTTTCTCAACAACTTGTCTGTTTACGTCAAGTCTCTAAATAGACAAGTTTATAAGTTATGAGCAGAATAATGAGTTTGACGTTTTAATTGTTTATTTAAAAATAGTTCCACTAAAAAATTCATGAATCCTTAGATGAGTCTTTTTGTAATATCTCATACTACCCATTTCAACTGTCAAACCCGTCTATACACTTATGACGAAAAAACGCTTATTTTTACTAACTTGACTCGCCTATTAGTATGAGATTAAAACGACAGTAGGTACAAAAAAAGCAAGTTTGACATTTTCAGTATTCAAATTTAGCCAATAAGAAAGCGATCCAAAGAATCCAAAAGGACAATAAATTCCTGTAGTTGGCTATATACCATGGATCACAAAAATTTTATTTAAAAAATTCTTTTATAAAAGGTCACAGAACGCTTTCGGAATAACTATTCTATCATCAGTGCTATCTGGATGTTCATATTTGAAGCCACTAAATATAAAGCTATTTAAGGGGTTTTTACCCATATATTAGTAATTGGATGCAAGCCTCACAAGACAGAGATAGGTGGAAAGGGCTGAGGAAGACCTATGTCCAGAAGTGGACACATACAGATTGATGATATACTTACGTTTACGACAATATAGTATATTACTCACCTCACGTATTGCTCTATTGATTAACATCTTTAATTCTAATTTAATATCTAACTTGGGAATTTCTTCATCTTCGTTTTTGTCTTCATCTTCACGAGAATTATTCAATTTTTCCTCTAGTTTTTCTCCACCCCCTTTTTTCCTATAGTAATTTTCCAAAGCCTTCATAACATTAGCAACAACTGGAACTTTGAAGGGAATACGGTTCACTTCAGACTCACTTAGTTTTGCCAAATCTCCAATTGTTTCTACGTTCCTAGCCCTAAAAAATGAAAAGTTGTTCAATCACATTGTTTACTAAAATAATATAATATAGATAAATAAGATTAATTAAATAAAGTAAGACAATAGAAAAGTTTCTTCTTCTCTGGATGCCGTAAGCTATGCAGCATGTAGGCATCCATGCTGGTTGTCGAATGCACAGAGATCCTTCTTCCGCTCTTCTTATTATAAAAACCTTATTTTACGAATGGCCCTTTACGAATATTTGTTAACCCAGGTCGTATTTTGCAAGTAATAGCTTGTATCCAGAATTGCATAATAACACTCCGCAGTGACTATTGGTGTCTCAAAAATAGGTATGAGTATAGTAGCCTCGTATTTCCGCGAGACTGTGCAAAAATATATGTATCTGTAATAAAATCATTCAACAAAAAGGTACTCTACCAGGAGTCTGTAAAATGACTCAGACGTATAATAATACAAAGTTTCCAGATTCCACTCGATATTAACATTCAGACGTGCCTGGTATAATCTTTTAAAATATGAACCAGATATGAACAATCAACCAATTAAGTTTTCATCGAACTTATGATAAGTCCACGTGGACTAACGGCCAATGAAAACATCGGATATCGCTGTTCAAATCGCTATGACAAATCATAATGCATTATCTTTTGTCGGTAGACTTATTCATACTTGGGGTAAGATTATATCAGTATTTGACTGAGCTTACGGAGTCATAAAATAAGGGATCAGGTCTCGACCGTCCAGTGCCGAAGGCACGGGACGGGGAAAACTTAGGTAGGCAAATTTTTATATTTTATTTTTAAATTGCCGATATGACCAACAGATTTTTGGGAGACAAGAATATTTTTAGTAAAATCATAACTGCTACAGCGTTCAGTTAAATTCAAATATCAAATAGTGAACCGCAAGTTAGTTTGGTAGTGACTTTTTTCAGTGTTCTTTATACGGAAAACATTTTATATTTTACGTTTTTTACTTTTTTTGATACGTTTTTACGTGATTATTTTTTTATACGTTTGATAATTTTAAAATATTGCGTCCGTGGTGCGATAATAATTATGTAGCTGAAGAGACAATGGAACCCTCTAATCGATTGGAAGATTTACAAAGGCGTGTAGTAAAACTTAAGCGACATTTTCAATACCTTTCTGATGATGCCAATCGTATGCTAAAAAATGTTTATGAAGGACTGTGTGCTGAATTGTCTAAATTAGAGGCAATTGCAGAAACATGTTTTTTAACCAGAGTGCCCAAAGCAACCTGCTACAAAATTATAGGAGAAACATCTTCTAGACAGAGGAGAACCGCACTTAATTGAATCTATAACTAGAACAATATACCAAATGTATGCGGCTAATATTTTTCCAACTATTGAAAGCCTTCGAAGTGAATTAGTTCGAAAGTGCATTCTCTCGTATTCAGCAACAACACTTCGATTATTTCTTAAAGCCAATAATTTTAAGTACAAAACTATAGACAAGAGACAGACATTAATAGAAAGTACTAGAATTATTTCTTTAAGAAACAATTATATCAGACATATATTTGAGTATCGAAAAATGAAGCGAAATATTGTTTATTTAGATGAGACCTGGTATGATAATCATGACACTGTGAAAAAAAAGTTGGACAAATAATAACAAAAAGTGTTTCAACTCAGTACCGCCCAATAAAAGAAAGAGGATTATAATTTTACACTGCGGTGGAGAAAATGGATGGGTCGACGATGCATTATTAATATCTGCAAAACAAATTAAAAACGCGTCTCTGGATTATCATGACGATATGGAAAGTTCAATTTTTGAATCATGGTTTGAAAAATGTCTTCTTCCGAAATTACTTAAAGATAGTGTGATTATCATGGACAACGCATCATATCATTCAAGATTAATGAAAAAAATTTTAAATAATAGTTGGAATAAATTAAAAATTCAGAAATTTTTATTCACGGAAGATTTGTGTTTTGAGACATCTTATATTAAAAAGAAATTGTTGGAGGTTGTTCATAGTAAACAGTACGAAAAGGAATATGTTGTTGACAACTGTGCTCGTAGTAACGGGCATACTGTGTTTAGACTTCCTCCTTATTATTGTACATTGAACCCAATAGAGTTAATATGGGCTTAACTTAAAGGAAATATAATGAGAATAAACGTTGCTCCAAAATTTTTGGCTACTGTTCTTCAGTTAATTAGAAGAGAAGTCACAAAAATTACAGCAACCAACTGGGAAAATGTAATAAAAATAAAACATGTGATCGGAGTGGAAAATGACTATGTTAAATAATTACCAGCATTAACCAAATTACCTATAACTTTAGATGATACGAGTGATACTAGTGATAACAGTGATTCTGAGTAGATAGTAAGTACTTATTAGGTGTTAGTTGAAACCTTTATATCTATTTTAATTGTAGATATTCTCATTTTGCTTATATATCTTTGAAAACAGGGTATAAACACATTTCTTCATAGGACAAAAATTATTAATGTTTTAGGGGAGTATGTCAACTGAAACTGTCACTGTCATTCTCGCTGAATAACTACTACTATTAACAATGTTTTATATAGATATCATTATTTTACAATAAGTTCTGTTCAGTCGAGTCGATTAGTGTTATCACTCCCAAGATATATCATTTATTTAAACTTTATAGAAAATAAAACTTTTTGGTAAATAAAATTAAATAAAAGTAAAAACTTTTATTTAATTTAAAATTAGATATCTACGTTACTGTTCTACTACTATGTACTACGATAAAATAGTGGTAACTTTAACAGCGTTGCCATTTTACTAGTATTTGGCTTGCTTTGGTCTCTGTAAATTTTCTCACGAAATTACGTGCCGACTATACTTAAGAGTTGTGTGTATTTGTATATTGACACAAAAGTACATTATCGTTTTAATATTTTTTTTATAAATTACAGTTTTGATTATAAACACTAACAGTATAGTTATAATCCAGTTTCCAATATTTTATATTTTCTTACTGACTAGAACAATTTGTGAAAATTATATTAAAATTAGTAGTAGCGCCTTATGATTTACTAAAGTAATAATAAAAAGGAAAAGACAGTTAAGATTTAATTTCACGTATAGTGCGTCAATGAAGCCGCTTATACGTATTTCGGCCTAATAGGCCTCGTCAGAACGGAAATTCATTGTCGCTCTGAACGTGAAAATAAATCTCTTCTGTCTTAGGAAGCAACTCTAACATGGTTTCGAATGGACGCAAATAGCTACATCTGATATTAAAATCTGTAAACTAATTTTCGAAACCAAATTCAGATTTTTGCTTTAATAATAAAAAATATGTCATACTTACTTCAACTTATTCATTAAAGCTGGAACAAACATTGGGCTAGTTATTCGTTTAACGATTATTAGAACGTCGTCCTTGCAGTCTATGAGTTTTGGGAAAATTGGTTTGTTCTTGTGCAAAACCATAGGATTTACCACCGACAAACTCGGTTCTGTGTCAGCATTGTCTGATTCTGTTTCAGTAGAAAGTTCTGAGCTGGGAGTGTCATCTGGGAAACCGAAGAGATCTTTCAAAACGTCATCAGGGAATTTCTTGTCTGGTGTAACATCAAATAGTCTTTTGGCCTCAAGACTGGGTTGAAACTCATCTTTTATATAGATTTTTTTGGATGTGAGGCACGGATCACTGAAGTTCACTCGCTTTCTCTGTTAAACAATTGAGAAGTATTTTTTAATATAAGTAATAAAAAAACGTTTAGTATTACATCCTGTATATGATATTAGTGGAATTTTCAAGATACATAAAAAGTTTAAAAAGTAAGAGATTCTTATTTATATACAAATGAATATAAAGAGGGTAGACGAAAGATTAGAAAGGCCTAAATTAGTAGGTAGGAGTAAAATTTGTTGTTTGTGCATTTAATATAGTTTAGCAAATCATGGATTTTTCTGAAACTTCTTACATAAATAAAGTCGACGGTACTGAGTTCCACTACGGCATTCTTTTTCGCCAAAAAAGTTTTAATTCCTGACGACTGAAGTCTAAAAAATAGCAAAGTTTGCTTATTTTTCAAAAAATCTGTTTTTAATGGATTTGTTGGTTAATTTAATGTCGTTGATTACAAATCTGGAAGATTTGTTTTAATCCGGATTCTAGGTACCGACATATAGACAGTCAAGAAACAGCTTTGAGATTACGTAAATGAACATAAAAAAAATTACTTTTATAACTCAATCAACCTAACCAAACTAAATCTATCCTAACCTAACTAAAGTTTGCAAATTTGTTATCAAATTGACTAGAACATGTCATTTTTAAATAAAAATTAATTTCGAATGTATTTGGAAAAGATGTCGATAAAATAGACACTTCGATATTTTGTCAAATCTAATAGTTGATTTCTGAGGAATTAAATATTTTCAGTGAATATATCGTAGCCGAACTCAGATCCAAAATTCGTCGTGCGAAATTACATTTAAGCCAAGGTAGAAATATATTTACAAATACAAAATGAACTTACTCGTAAAATAGAACCTAGGAAAAAGAACCCGGCACTTTTCTTAAAGACAAGTAGTTTCAGTTAAATTATATGAAACTTTGCGGGGCATAGTTTTGATCATGCTGATCAGAAGTTCTCACTGCACCAAGACTCAAAAATCAATTGTTTCTTGAGTTACAGAGTTTCAAAGTTATGAATAATATACAGGATGTTAATGTACAACAAACGTCACATTCTGCATGAAAAAATACCAGTTCGCTATATAAAAATATGTCCGCAAATGCTTCGTTTCCGAGATACGGGATATAGATTTTTTTTTTAAATTATTAAAAATCCTTTGTAAAAGGTATATATTTAGGCCCAAACGGGCTAAGTTAAAAAGACAAAACGTTTTCGGAATCCATATTCCATCATCAGTGTCAAAGAGTACATGAATGTAGCCACTAAATACATGGGTAAAAACCCGTTAACAAATAATTAATTACATTTAGTTTACAAATTTTCTTATAATGTTTTAGGATGTTAAAGTTACCGTTGGATTAGGTAACATGGCGACATATGACTCCACGTTGAAGCTGCTAGTATTGAGACAGTGTGTCTACGAAGACTGTATGGGAGCAACTCACATAGTTATCAGACATTTCAGATTAAACATCATTTTTGGATTCCTCGTTTAATTTGCGACAAAAAAATCTGTTGCCTTTTTTTCATAGAAGGTGCCAATTTTATGTAAAAAAAATGTTAGATTAGGCGATACTGCAGACAAGCGCAAAGCTTCATAATAATGTTTTTTGTATTTTCATATTTTATATATTGTTACAACTGAATAATGTAATTTTATTAGATATTCATTATTTTAATTACACGTGTAATTTTAATAAAAATAAACACTTGGTAAATCTATACATGATCCAAATAAACAAAAAATAATATTTAACAATTACATAAAACCCCTGTTAGTTAATATTATTGTTATAGATAAAATTGAAAAAGGTTATATGTATAACGAACTATCCTCGTAGCGTAAATGAACTCTTCCAACTTATTAAGGCGCTTCTGAAAACGAAATACGCTATTTAGTGGCAGTATACAAGCTTCGGTTCAAAACAAAATAGCTTAACGGGTATTTTTAATTTGTTTAATACATTGTCTAGTAGGCTAGTGTCAACATTAACTTATCAGTTATTTAGCTATTCTCAACATTTATCTAATGTTAGATGCGAAATATCAAATTATTGTTTCTTGATATTAAACTATTAGTTTGTAATAAGATTATTGTTAATAATTAATTAATTTTTCTTTTATCGAAAAAAAAAAATTGAAAATTTTATAAATGCGAAATTTTCATACATGCATACAGATTGAACCAAATTAAAATGGAACATACAATTTAATACATGTCTGTTTGAACTGCATTTAAAATAGTGGACCAATATAAAACTTGGACAAAACTAAATCCATACCTGGGTATAGACATTGTATAAAATATCGTTCAACTATCTGTCTCGCAACAAAGTTGTTTGCGTAAGACGGGTTTGTCTAAGGAGGCGATAATAGTTCAGGAATTGAAGCTCGAAAAAAGTTGAAAACCTCGCAATTTTTTCGTCCTGCATGTATCCAGTTGAAATTTTAGCAGAAGGTAGGTAATAGCCCAAGGATCAAAATTTATATCGAACCGAAGTGCGTTGAAGGGTTTTAGGGGTGAAAACTACCCCTAATTGTCAAAAATTATAAAATAACATATTAAACCTGAATATGGGTAAGATTTGGTTTGAATTAATTAAATAATGATTATTTTATACTTTTGAATAGAGTTCCATCATATTTCAACCATTAAAAAGCAACCCTTGTTAGAGATTAATGTAAAAAATTACTAATTCTAAAAAAATGATTTCGCCTTGGATCGATTTGGATAAAAATTTGGATTTAAGCTCAATTCACCCGCTGCTTTATAGTTTATGTCATGTCGACGAACCCTGATTGTTCTTAGGAGTGAAAACTACCCCTAATTGTCAAAAATTATAAAATAACATATTAAACCTGAATATGGGTAAAATTTGGTTTGAATTAATTAAATAATGATAGTTTCGTACTTTTCAATAAAGTTCCATCATATTTCAACCCTTAAAAAGCGACCCTCATTAGAGATTAATATAAAAAAATTAGTAATGCGAAGAAAATGATTTCACCTTGGAACGACTTGCATAAAAATTTGGAATTAAGCTCAACTCACCCTCTGCTTTATAGTTTATGTCATGCCGATGAACCCTGATTGTTCTTAGGGGTGAAAACTACCCCTAATTTTCAAAAATTGTAAAATAATATTACAAATCCTAAGATGAGTGAAATTTGGTTTGGATTAGTTAAATAGTGAGTTTTTTATACTTTAAAATACAAATTCATACGTTTTCAACCCTTAAAAATCAATTGTTATGAGTGCTATAGGTGAAAACAATTTTTTGCCAAAATTTTGCAACTTTTCAACTTTTGAAAATCTTCCTTTACAACATTGCAGTTTTTATAAACTAATTTATAAGATATAAATTGAAAAAAGTAGAATTAAATACAAAAAAAATTATCAACATAAAAAGACACCATATATTCTTATACATTTACATAAATAGTTGAAAATATTTAAATTTATAGGTAAAACAATTATAATATTAATTTTATTCGTCATCAATTACATCTTCATCGTGATCTATGTCATCATCATCTTCCTCAATTATTGGTGGACTGTTATTGCACCCTTCACCTGAGCACCCAGAACAAGTAGAGTTACAGTATAAACCAACTTTTCTGCACCCATATGAAACGCCGCATCCTTTTATGCATTGGCAAAAAATAATTTTCAAAAATTTATCGGGTGCAGGTTGTTTGTTCATGCGTACGGGTAATAACAAACCATCTTTGGAAAACCATCCCCAATCTGTTGCTCTGATATTTTCATTGCCAAGCCATAGACATATGAGCAGATGTTTTATTCTGTTGTATGGGATTTCAAAATAAGAACGCTTAAAATTTCGAATGTATAACGCCCCAATAGCTAATATACCGGTTTTGTAGATTATTATGCTCCGAAATGTACTGTACTATACTAATGGAATTTTCCCGAAAAAAATTAACTGGTTTTTTTAACGTATTTCCTTTAATTTTTAACGATAGATGTTTCTTCAGAAACGATTTGTAGAGGTTTTTAAATAGCTACAAGGATCTGTGAATTAAATACAATGAAACCCTTGGTTTTTAAATGGGGTGAGTTTAAAGGGCTCGAAAAAGATGGTGCTTGATCGTACATCGATGCTTTAATCGGCTATATCTCGCCAAATATTCATTGTACAACAAATCTAAATAAAGGATAATTTTAGTCATTAAAAAAGCTACAATTTTGGTAATTTTTATTTTTTTCATATATTCAGTATTTTCGGGCATATTTAAAAAAAGAAGGGTAAAAAATATGAAATTGTAAATCGTTTCTCGCTTTAAGCTGTACTTTTTCTAAAACTAAGCATTTTAAATGGGTCAAACTTCTTGGACGTATTAACAATACATCTACAAAAGGAATTGCAGAAGGGTGAAGATCGATTTTAATTATGGGGGTGGTTAGGGTGTTGTTTTCCTCGATTTTTTCGTAAAAAATGAGGTATTGACCTTATTTTTTTATGATAGGTCTATTTATGCTCTTTAACAAAGGTTTTGTGAGTTTTATTCCAAAAATGCATAATTTTCCCGATATTTGACTTTGAATCTTTCAAATTTGGCATTTGAAGAAAACCGCTGAACATTGATATTGTATTTGTAATTGTATTTGTCTTTTTAAAAGCTACAAATTTGTTCTCTACAATTTTTTTGATAAAATGCACCATTTTCGAGTTATTCGCGAAAAATCGATTAAAAACGTGGATTTTTTCGTCTAAAAGTTGTTACTTTCAATCGCGAATAACTTGAAAAATATCATTTTATAAAAAAATGTATAGCACATTTTTTGTTAAGAATCACTTTTCTAATCGAAACCTGTAGTTAAAACGTAAAAAAAATTTTCACCCCGGAGATGGGGTGGCAATCACCCCCTAGGCTTTGGCGCACTTTGGTTCGATATAGATTTTGATCCTTAGGCTATTACCTACCTTCTGTTAAATTTCAAGTCAATCCACGCCGCACGAAAAAATTGCGAGGTGAAATGATACATTTCCTGGACTATAACTG